CCACTATACACAGTTTGGCATTTGTTGTTAGCTCTGGGAGGGGCCCTTCACCGTCCCCCTGTCGCCTTCCTCCCAAGTCGACCCCTGTTCTTTAACTGTTTCCTTCGTCCGGCAACTCTGTGCATGTGCACACTGGGAACAGGCTCCAGCTGTTCTTCTGCCTCACTGATATCTGACTCCGAAGGCAGCTGATAACTCTCAGATAGCCCTGGCTCCCTCTCTGCCTCCGACACAGAGCCCTCCTCAGAGCCTTCCCCAGACTCCAGGACTGGCCCAGGTTCCTCCCCAACCCTCCTCACTCTCCGAATCTACCAGCTCCACTGGCAGGCCACGCCACCAGGTCAACAGGTGGACCAAAAAATATATGACATATATGACAAAACCTTGATTTTCCTTCTGAGTGGATTTATTCCAATAATTTACTTTTTGGTCGGCGAGCTCTTCTTTTTTTTTTTTTTTGTATAAATGGCTATCTTTAAAAAAAAAAATATCCGCAAAATAAATTGGCAAATGTTCAGGAAGTTCCCTGCTTTTATGTTTACATTTACTGCCTGCAATCCACGCGCGCCGGCGGGCCCTCTACAAGTAGAGTTTAATCAGCTCGTCGCTCACAGCCGAAGGGGTCAAGACCCCGAGATCCGTAAAGAGCAGCGTGATCAGCGACGGGGACGTATAATCGATCCAAGGATGTTCGACCAGGAGAGGCTTCTGTGTCTTCAGCGTATCTGCTTTGTACTGCGGAGAGCGAAAGAAATGATGTGTGTTACCAAATGTCTGGGGAGATTCTCAAGCCATCCAAATCGTGGTTGTCCTGAAAGATGCTTTTTATTTTATTTTCAAGAGGCAACTGGGCTTTCTGGTTGTTTTTTTCTTTGAAGAGGTTTCGCTTCTCATCTAAGAAGCTTCTTCAGTTCTCAGTTCAGTTCTTCTTCAGAGCCGAAGAGGCTTCTTGGATGAGAAGTGAAACCTCTTCAAAGAAAAAAACCCTCAGAAAGTCCAGTTACCATTATTGGAGAGAGGCAGCTTTGGTTAGCTTCTTGAAACTGATCCCCCCCACACACACTTCTGTCCCTGCCATACAGGTAGTCCTTGACTTACAACATTTTGTTTAGTGACCTGTTCTGACCCCCTCCTCCCATCCAGTAATGAATGCAGAGACAAACTTAACTGGAATGTCCTTTAATAGCAAGAAACCAAAGCCTCGGTGGCTGAAAGCCAAGCATAACAAACAGATAAGGAGCTTGGCAGCAACT